ATATCCTACTTTGTAACGGATGATTCCTGTTTCATTTTAACATTTCCAGTTGTGCTGTTTTTTTTAAATACTTTCTGTAGCCGTCGGGTGGGGGAGTGGACCTGAAGCCCATTGAGATTTTTATAAATAAATATTCTTGGCTTGATCAACACACTTTATAGGACTGTTTTGGCAGCACTGATTTCATGAGCAATACGAACTCAGAACACCAGAACTGGAATGCACTTCGCTTCCTAGGAGGTAGAAATGCCACAAGGTATATAAAGCAGTAACATTGAAAGTGACGGGGAACAAGGATGTCCACGGGCTCAAAAATGTCAAGATGGTGGCTGCAACCCCATAGTCAAAGCCCTGCCCCTTTAAAGGGGGCGAGGCATCAATGGCACGTTACACTCACCATCTTGACTTTTTTGACCCCCCCCCAGCAGACACTCTTGGTGTGAAATTATTTCTGAGGACACCGAAGAACATTTGATCTCTTGCGTTAATTTGTGTCACGCTTAGTCAGTTTCGAATGGGCAGAAGGCACAGGCGCATATTCAAAAGATCTGCCTCCTGCGATGGAGGAAACCAATCCCTCTGCGCTCGAGAGATCATTTCTTACAAAAGGGTGAGCCTGAACAAAGAGAAAGCTATTCCTGCTTCTGTACTGCTGATTGAAAAAGCTTGGAGCATCTGGAAGAGGGGAATTTAAGACATCTGCAATGGGGTTGAATGTGGCATCTTTGGGTGTGCACCATTTCCCACCATGAGCAGCTTCCAGCTGTGTGAACTTCAACATGCAAAATCTTGCAGATTTCTGGAGATCCAATTTTCTTCTGCTACACAGTCCACATAAGAGTTCCCCTTGAGTAGAAAAGATTTGCATACAAATGGAAACTTTCAGGAATATCTGTCATTATTCCAGTCCTTTCATTATACATATTCACTGTTTTTAGACTTCAGGAACCAGCTTTCACATTCCAGCATTATTTTCTGGTATAGCTTGGTCAGGGAATTTATAAAACTAGTGGTCTTCTGCCGTTTAGATTTATAGCCAAGTCCGGAAGAGAGTGTAAGAACTTTATAAAAAAAAAAAAAAAATTCAAGCAATACCTTGATCTTCCCTGATTGGCACATTTTTTTTAAAACCAAAACATGACAGTCTGGCAGAAATAATGCCAGCAAACACTCTTGTGGAAAATGTAATCCAAAATATTCTGAATCCTTTTTTGTCTGTTAACAGTTTTCCTGAAGTCAGCACAGGACACCATTCTGAAAGGCATTCAAAAACGCAGTTTTAAATAGTCCATACGTACTTTCTCAAATCTTTCAAAAGCTGTCAGCTCTGCAGTTGTGCTGGATCACTGGCTGTAAACAGATGCGATCAGTGATCTGGTAGTGGGTTCTGGAAAAGCCTGAAAAAACCATGCAAATCCAAAGGATCCCCATTTCGGCTGTTTTTGCACCAGGGTGGAAATCTGACATAATCAGATCCATGATTGTTAGGGCGCAATCCATGACAGACAAGATTTGATTAGGATTTCAGGTGGATCCCATGTAAAGATCATATGAAATCAGAAGATTTCAAAGATCCAACCTTTACCCATTGGGAAAAACCAAAGAGTGGTTTATAGACGTAAATTACGCATGGATGATACGGTCATCCTTAGTTGAAACAGTTCTGTAAATCTTTACATACACATATACTTGTGTGAGAGGCCTTCATGCATATACATTTTGTTTTGGTCTGCTTTTTTCCCCTGTTGCTATTCTATTTAATTAATAAAGCAGTGAAAAACAAAAACAGGAAACGCTTTCTCATAGTGAAGTCAGGTCAACAGCGGAACCAAAGACCCACCAAAGGTGGGCACCTCATCTTTCAGTGTCCTTAAGCAGAGGCTAAGCCCTCGCCCTCACCCTCACCAGCTTCAGTCTGGACTCTTGATCTAAACGGTCCCTTTCAATCCTCTGATTCTACTTTTAAAAAGTCTTCACCATCCCTGGTTCATCACAAGATTCCTTTTCCAGGAAGGTATCAATCTTCCCTAACAGGCTCCGTCAGATCCAGAACATCTGATTGCAGACAACTCCTCCAGATGTGCAGACTTTGGACTTCACTTCCCAGAATCCTCCCCTGTAGAAGCTGCCAAGGGTGGAGATGGGTAAACCATTGGGTCCTGCTTCTGAGAAAAAGGAAGTTTAGTGGCAAGCTAAAATGAAGGTAATTAGGGGCCATGGACTTACATGAATCTTTGTTTCTTTTCTCAGACTAGGAAATATTGGGCTTCAATATTAAATAAAGAATGTTTGCAGGTTTAAAAGATTTGCAGCCCACTTGGAGCACCGAGGCTGAAAGTTACCCCCTTCTCTAGACCAGCCTGACATGATGCTCATAAATGAAAGGAAGATTCCTGAGCTTTCAAAGTTGTAAAAAAAAATTTATTGTTGAGTGTATCAACAAGCTTCCCAAACCTGTCACAATTTATACAAGCAACATGACCGTGACTCCTACTACATCATTCTTTTTTCCTGTTTCCATTCAAATCTAACACCCTTTCCACCTTTTTTTTTAAAGGAATGCGTAAGCTAGTAACTCCAGTCCTAATCTCACCCAGGAGGAGCTCCCAATAAACCGATCGAGAATTGCCAGGGTTATGCAAGGCTATTACTATCTTCCCAGCACCATGAAAGACACAAACTCTGTAAAGCTACTTTGGTCACGTATCTTCCTGCCATGCCTGAATATTTCCAATGTTGGCCCTCAAGTGAAAAGTAGAACCTCCATGTAGAGAGGCAGGATACCCGTGCATATTAGCAGCTTCAGGGCTCAGGAACAGTACAAAGCCATTATAGTCTTCATGGCTTGTTTGATGGGCTTCCTGGAATCAGTCAGTTGTGAGAAATAGGATGCTGGGTTATGTGCACCTGTGGTCCAACCCACCAGATCTTTCGGTTATTCTTAAGTCTTCCTCTTTTCCATTCTTACCCAGCCTAGACTACAACCCTGAGATTTCCTAATAGTCTCTCTTCCATGTACTAACCAGCTCCAACTTGGCTTAGCTTTTTCAAGATCTGCTTGATACTGACACCTACTAAAAACAAAATTTATGAGAATAAGAAAGGCTTTTGCTTCATGTATTACAGTGAGGAAAGGGGGCCATTAAAGGCAGAGGGGATAATTTAAGAAAATGTCGGGGGGGACATGGTAAGCAGGTTTAAGATGTGCGGAGTTGCAAATCTGAGTTAAAAATCCAGTCAAGCAGTCAGGACTTGATGGTCATCCTTCTGGACCTCCATCCCACTCAATCTGGCTGGATCCTACAATTATACTGCTCCTGACAGACAGCTGCCTGATCACAGCTTAAACCCTTCCAGCAAGGGAGCAGCTGCACTTCCCAAGGCAGCCTGCTTCCCTGCCCCAAACTGCGCTCTTTTAGCCTTTTTCCTAACATTTTACCCCAAACTGCTTCTCGGCCATCCTTCCTCTTGACTCCTTCAAGCTTTCCCCTGCAGACTCAATACGCTCAGCTCTTTTGACTGTTTCTTGTAGGGCTTGGCTGACTATATCCAGGACGTTGGCTGAGCCAGTGATACCAGCCTGGCTGGCTGGCTATTCAGACTTTAAGCTACTTGGCTGCACGGAAGCCAACCTGAAATTTTCTGCATGGGTGAAGAGCATTATCACCTGCTAAAAACGGCCACTGTTTTTGGCAGAAGCGCCAGCATCGATCAAAATAAAGATGAAGAGGCTGGGAGTCCTGTTTCCCCTCAGGGGAGGTTGTTGTACAAGGATGAAGGCCTTCAGCCTTTGCTGCAACTGCACGAGACCTGAAATGGTCCCACTAAGTTCTGTACTAGGTGAAGCATGCACAAGATTTCATCTGGAATATACTTACCAAGGGGTGGTCCAGTGAGTGTGAGATGTGCTTCTGGGCAAACCCTTTATGGCCAGGCGTTTAGTAACACACCTCACGGCAAGCCTATCTTAGTCTTAACTAGGTTTCAGGCTATATAAAGCACGAGGACAGAGAGAACAAATCTGAAGACTGAGTTTAGGCTGAGATTTATGCTCAATAGTTAATGTATATTGTTCCTTTCGTCATTTCTTATGTGGACATACAGGTAGTCCTCGACTTACAACCATTCGTTTAGCAACCATTCGATGTTACAACGGCGATTAAAAAGTGACTTATGGCCAGTCCTTGCACTTACGACTGTTGCAGCATCCCCAGTCACGTGATCAAAATTTGGGTGCTTGGTAACTGGCATGTATTTACAGTGGTTCCAGCATCCCAGGGTCACCTGATCACCATTTGCAACCTTCCCAGGGGGCTTCTGACAAGCAAACCGTGTGGGGAACCGCATGATTCTCTTAACCACCATGAAAAATGTGGTAAAATCAGGTGCAGCCATGTGATGCCTCGCTTAATGACCGCAGCAGTTAACAACAAATTTTCCAGTCCCTATTGTGATCGTAAGTCAAGGACTACCTGTACTTTATAACACAACTCCTTCACTTCCAGTTTCTTACTTTCTTGGACCCCATCCTTCCTTTTCCTTACTTCTGATTAATTGGAAAAGAAAAAAGTTAAATTTTCTTTAAAATGTGTATTTGAGATGGCTTTCCCACCCATACTGACAAGGAATAGCGTGGCATCACTCAACAGGGAACCTAAGACGTAAAACAGTAAAAGTTTATTATGACACAAACTAATTTCTTTTTAAAAAAACCTGTTTGCCTTCTTTTATACTAAACTATCGCAGTTCACTGCTCATTAGATAACCCTTTGCTTCCACCCAAATCCTTGATCTCCATTCTTTCTGTCGGAAAACAGCTCCTCTTCCAAACCTTCTTTTGAAGCATCTACAAAGTCAAAGTGAGTTTGGAATTATGTTGTGAGGTGCATTTGCAGAAAATCAGACGTAGTGTGGGACTAAATGAACTCTCTCCTCACAAAGGTGTATATAATGAGGGTGTTATGCAACACAGAAGGGGACAAAAAACTTAGAAAAATGGATGCAATATTTGAAATACCTTTATACTATTGGCAATCTGCAGGGAAACTGACTGACCCCTTCCTACACTGGAATGTCTCCAGGAATCAGAGAATGTTTCTGAACATTCCAATTGCTCAAAAGAACGTCAACACCCAAGACTGAAAGGGAAAGAGGATCGTAAGAAGTCGGTAGAGTCACCAGCTCGCCAGGAAAAAGACAGGCAACCTGTCGCTGTGCGTTTGATCTGCAGAAGTCAAGCAGCTGCAACTTCTCGTTAGGCAGAGGTAGACATTTTCAATTGCTCATCACTGCAGATCAAACCGTGTTCGCAGGCAGATTCACAAGTTGGCCTTCTCAGCTGCCTGAAGGAAGAAGTTCATCAGAAGAGAGGTCCAACATGATCTTGAAATGCTGGCTGTCTTCTTTCACAAGCGAAGTACACTGTGCAAGCAGGTGCGACCTCAAACTGGGAACAGAGAATGAGAGAGACAGAAGGGAAGAAAGAAGCAAAATCAGGTGCACCCACCTGCCCACCCCGTCTCTGCTTGCTCAGATGATGAATCTCCTGCATAGGTGTATGGATGTCCCAGTCACTGATCTTCACTGATCTCTCCAACTTGGCTTACTTCTAAGAACGCTGCCATATGCGACTTCTCTGATGCCCCACCAACATATCTTTCTAGTGAAAACTTTAGCACCCTCAGCACATTCAAACACAGGCTGGAAACCATGAATTTTCAAATGGGTCATCAGGCTATCACAATGAAACGGTTTCACCCCAGTGTGGATGACCTGGTGCCTGGCCAACTTACTCTTCTTAAGGAAAGCGCTTCCCACATTCACTGCATCTGTGAGGTTTTGCTTCTGTGTGCATGTTCTGGTGATCGGCAAGGTGACAATCATACGTGAAGTACTTCCCACACATAGTACATTCAAGACGCAGCTCCTCTGCCGGGACTTTCTGATCCGGCGCTCGCTCCACCTGGGCGTGCTCTTTTTCTCCGCTTTTGGAATATGCAAACTTTTCCAGCCGCGCGCGGAGTGACACTTCGGCAGGAGCGTTTTTCCCCTTCGCTTCCTTCTCTCCGATGTTCTCCTTTGCGCTCTCTTCCATTTTGTGGTGTTTCTCGGCTGCCTTTTTCCTCTGTTGACGCTTGTAATTGCGCCATTGCTCACGCAACGCCGCCGTTACGGATGCGTTCTCAGGGGTGGACCCCAGCGATCGACCTCCTGTTTTCTTCGGCTGAGCTTGTGCGCTTTTCTTTGGCTTCACAGAACCTGCTGAGACAAAGAAGCAGACTAAACGTGACCCTGCCAGAGAAAGAAGAGGGCCGCTCTAATGCAGGGATTCGCAACCTCAGCAGCTTTAAGATGGGTGGACTTCAACTCCCAGAATTCCCCAGCCAGCATGGC